CTGATAACTGGCGCAGTAGTGTCTGCCTTTAGTCGACCATAACATGGCCAAGTTATAGAGGATAATTTGTTGATGAATGATGTAGCCTAATTGGTTAAGATACAACTTACAGTGGTGGTCAAGATACAGACGTATGCTTCCAAAGGGCCTATATAGTGAACGTACAAACACCGAAAAGATGGTTAACTTCGGAGGTTTTACGGTACTGACATTCAATGCAATTACGAATGAGTTGATGGATCTCGGTATGATTCAAGTTGGTTCATCGCCATTATATTCAAAGCCGCATAGGTAAACTACCAACCTGAAAAAGCACGATATGCGCGTTTCACCTTATTGGGGCTCGTCAGTGGTGCGCATCCATCGGTCCCCTACTGGGGATCGAACCCATGACTGCTAGAGGCTAACGCCAACTAGTCGGCAGGTTATGCCACTGAGCCATGGGGGACGACAGCCGACCATTACGAATTGAGACCTAACTGCGATATAGCCCGACCCATTCTGCAATGCCGTGCAGGTTATTGCCCGTGCTGAGGACAGTGGTTGGCCGTTACGTTCACGTCTTCACTTGTCAGCGCCGTGAATCCACACAGCAATTTTTTGAATACTGGTAGGGCATAGATTTTTGACGACGAATGAGTAGACGGATTTCGGTATGATTCAAGTGGTCTGGTTATGTTGTGGCCACAAAGTCCCATGGAGACTTGCATGAGGGGTCAACAGGCATCCCTAACACAGTGTGCGGGTACCTACTGATTGTATTAGATAATGCAACTGAGACAACGGCCCACTACCTAAGAGTTAAGGAGGGTATGCACTTTATTGATCATGCACCGTTTAGTCTGAGTTGCAAACTAGCGACAAACATATGTGCGATCCTACTGGTATGGACAACCCGTGGCGCCCATGTTCCGCACTATGCGACCAGATTGGAAATTGGTGTAGTGCGACATACTGCGTGCCTCAAATACATTAATAATAAACAAAATAATGTGTCAGCTGTACGTCGTAACGGCGTTCCGCTGCCGTGCGATCACCATCAGTCGCACGCAGACTGAGCACGCGAGGACGCCCACCCCTACGCGGATTCAAATACATTAAGCATTCATTCATTCAATATACACCTTAGCCGGAGGTGCATAACGCAGCAATTGTGCCGCAATACATGAGAAGAGAAAAAGAAAACGTAGAACATATGCAAGCCAGCTGAGCTATCAGTTATGGATGGGCATTGTTCCAGAAAGTTACCAGCCGGCTAATATGCAGCCGTCTTAGTGACCTACACATCTTTGGCTTTTGTTGTGCATGATACTGATACTGATTGGAAGCAGCGAGTAGAGCATACTCTGTGTAGCTGCATCAATTGTCGCTTTTGGACATTAACGTATTAATTATCGTTCCGCTCTTTATATTTTGCCTCTGCAAAATGTTTGTCTAGAAGCTTCTTAAAATCGGCCACTGAATTGGCCTCTATTACCGGCTGAGGCAGGTTGTTCCAGATATTCACCACTCTACGTTCGAAACAGAGTTGGTGAGCTACCCGCTTCAACTGCGGTACGATAAGTTTGCACCGGTGTCCTCGCGTGCTGCTTGGTGTGCGCAGATGAAGCAGTTGTCTCAATATGGGGTATTCACTAAGATGTAATATCCGGTGCGTCATGATTAGGTCAACCCTCAGCCGACGATATGCTAGGGTGTACAGCCCTAGTTTCTTACATCGGTCTTCATATGGCATACCTCGTAAGTTGGGGATCAGCCTAGTGGCTACATGCTGCACCCGCTCAAGCTTTTCTACCTCGGCCAGGGTGATGGGACAATACGCGAGAGATCGGTATCCTAGCATTGGTGGTATTATCGAGACGAAGAGGCGAGTGGCAATCTCTTCGGACCAATTGCTGAAGCTGCGCCTGAGAGCCCAAAGCATCCGAAGGCTGTTTTGGTACAGCCTATTCGTGTTGTCAATGGACTTTAGGTCGCAGCGTGAGAGCACACCGAGGTCGCGCACGAAAGACGCGGGATGCAACGGTTGACCAGCCACTGGGTACGTTCGGCTGTGCTCGCATTTACCCAACCTCATAAATTGCGACTTGGCAGAGTTGATCGGAAGATTAGACTCTGCAAACCATGTCGAGAGGCGGTCGAGGTGCTGCTGAAGTAAATCACAATCACTGAGTGTGCGGATTACTCTCCACACCTTCAAGTCATCTGCGAACAACGCACATGGTGATTGGAGTAGCTTAGGCACATCGTTTACATGGATCAGAAACAATATCGGCCCCAGTACAGTGCCTTGGGGCACGCCGCTGCTCGATGGGTGCCAGTTAGTTAGATGGTTGTCCACCTGGACTCTCCACTTTCGATCAACAAGGAAACTTCTGATCCATTTGTGCAGCGAAGCACCAACACCGCACATCCTCAGCCTGTCAAGGAGCACTGCATGGTTAACCTTGTCAAAAGCCTTACTGAAGTCAATGTAAATGACATCAACCGAATGGCCTTGGTTCATCGCTTGTAACCACTCGTGCCTTGTCAACAGTAGGTTGGTGATGTACGAGCATGAAAGTGCTAATATTGAGTGCTACTAGTGTATTCGCAACGATGAGCTATACGCGAGAGTGCTAAGGCGGTGACCTCATGTTAGTTAGTTGGGTCAACAAATAAAATGAAGGAAGCCGATTTAGTTCGGGTGCAAGACACATATGTCATCCTACTGTTCGATGACGAAGGTCTTGTTTCGTTTATCCGAGGTTCGAGGTTGTGAAACATGAGGAATAAGTTGTCTGCGTCAAAAAGGAAGTCGTTTTATCAACCAGGCTGAGTTCACATAACCCGCCGTGTGCATTGCTCGGGACTTCACGGGACGTGGTTCGCAGACGAAGCCAGTGGCGATCTGGCTGTCATCTCCCAGTCAGAGTGTCTGTTTAGAGTACGGTGCTGAGGTAGCTTCGCGTTAAAGAGGACGATGGCATAAGACAATGAAAGCTGTTTTGTCGATGGCGCATTATCTACACATGATGGCCAGTGGCAGTGCCCGTGTGATGACTAAAAGACGATGGCGCTTGATCGTGAATGCTCGTCTAGGGCAGTTGGGCCCTGTGTTGAGTTCGTCTTCCCCACTCCTCCAAGTCCACATCAGCAGAGTCAACTCACACAACGTGCGTGATCGTGCGGCAGTGAACTACTAGCTCAAGGTGTTGGTGTACAGCGGTTGGCACTGATGATGACGATGATGATGATGAAGATTACGGTGAGATTCAAATGAATAGATTCGCAGTTGGTCGTTCCACTTTACCGATTCATCAGTACGTGAAGGTTAGTAGTTTAGAAGGCCTGCTCTTCAAGGTATGCAGCTAACCTTTGCTGATTGAGACATAACATTTACGAACCACTATCGTGTTCTTTGCCGCAGATACGTCCATCATCGTTCTTTCACTGCAGACACGTTGGGATTGCCAGCTCATCGCTGAATAATTTCCAAGCTAGGTCAACCAAAGTACTCGTGAGCAATCGAAGTACAGTTGCAAATAGTGAAAAAGAACAGCCGTACTGTGCGATTTTCGTCACATGAAGTTTTACTCAGCGCATGTCTTGTGAATCAGAATGTGAACGAGACCAGGCCCACAAAGTGTGTAAGTAAGTAAGCAATGTGTCAGCTGTACGCCGTAACGGAATTTCGCTGCCGCGCAACCCCCACCAGTCGCGCGCGGGCTGAGTATACCGCGAGGACGCCCACCCCTACGCGGATTCGAACCGGTGACCTTATGGTTGCAGAGCAAACGTGCAGACCACTCGGCCACCGGCGGCCACAAAGTGTGTACTGCTCCCTCTATGATGAAATGATGGTGAAGACGATGATATTTATAATGGGATGATCCAGTTACGTGGTTCGGTATTGCTCCTCCCAACCCTGACACCCATGACCGATTTCGTCCTCCTTTGGACTCATCAGATGGAGATAGAGTGAGCTGGGGTGGATCTCGAGTTCTAGTGTTCATAGGTTGACGCCTTGACCATTATGGCTCTAAGATCCGCGAGCAATGCTTGACACAGCGGTAAAGTTTTCCGATTGGCATTTGGTGTACCCGCTGTGTGGTTGGATTGTGACTCGCAATCTCTAGTCAGACTTTGGTCCTCTTTGAAGTAGACCTCGGTCATTACGATCAGAATGACCGTAACCGAACTGGTGGTTCATTGTTGCTCCTCCCAACCCTGGCACCCCATAACCGGTTTCGTTCTCCTTTGGACTCATCAGATGGGTAGACCAAATGTCACTTGAAACGCTTTACAACTGTGCCAAGCGTCCCTCGCGGATCTTATTACAGTCACAGTGGTCAAGGCGACAACCTTTGAACACTAGGCATCGAGGTCCACCCCAGCTCAGGTTATCTCCATCTGATGAGTCCAAAGGAGAACGAAACCGGTTATGGGGTCTCAGGGTTGGGAGGAGCAACACCGAACCACCAATTCGGATACGGTCCATGTGATCGTAATGACCGAGGTCTACTTCAAAGAGGACCAAAGTCTGACCAGAGCTTGCGAGTCGCAATCCAACCAAATACCACTTGGGATCCAGTTACAATTTATACGAACGAGCAGAAAGTGTGTAAACTCGCAATCTGTCTAGCAGGAATATAAAATAACGACCAATTTGGCCACTAGATATCATCAATGCCAAGCATCGGTAGAAATTCTCACAAACATTCGTCGACACACTAGGCTGTGAATGGGACTATATTCCGGCAAGGTATAGGTGACTTGAACAACATGCAGAGCAGAAAAGCCAAAGCTCAACCACCAGCCTCTTAGCAGTACACTCGAGGCCAACATACGTTCCGGTTGCAAGAGTAACCGTACGAGCAACGTAGTTACGCGCTCAATAAACGACCACCGTGGTAAAGCGCGAACTGTCAATTCTTATGAGTGCAATATAAAAAAATATTACCAATATAGCGGATATCGATTCATCAATAGGCAGATAAAATAGATAGAGGTGTACTTACCAAACTCGATGGCATTGACGCGGCGATTAGTGGCCTTTATGACATGGTCAAGAGTAATGAAAGACGTTTGCAGAGAGGCGAGTTCAACTAGAAGTTCGACAGCTTTCGCATAATTTTTCTTCAAACGATCGATCTGCTGTCCACCTCCAGAGAGACCTGTGAGCTCGTATGCTGCAGATGAGGACAAAGACGGTATTAAAGATGGCGTGGGTGACTGAGTATGAGATCACTATGTGTATAAGCTCTATCATCATCATCATCATCATCATCATCATCATCATCATCATCATCATCATCATCATCATCATCATCATCATCATCATCATCATCATCACCATCACCACCACCACCACCACCATCATCATCATCATCATCATCATCATCATCATCATCATCATCATCATCATCATCAAGGTCAAGGCCACAGCCTTCGGTTTGAAAATACGTTCGCTCCGCTCTCAGGCCAGTTTCTTCATTATTATTGTGTCATATATTGTTGTATCCTGTCGTGTATTATATAGTTCGATATAATATTTGATTCTGCGTTATCCGGTGATATATTTAGATATATATTAGCCTTAATTTTTTCGTTTTTTGTCCTCCTGGCAATTTTTTGATCTGAGTGGTAGCGTGCCCTTATCCTGTTAGGCCA